CAGTTCCCAATCAAGGTATGCGCTCCTCCTCTGAGTACTGTTTGGCCTCCCATTGATTCTATTGAATCTACTCTGGCTCCTAATCCTGACTTGGCTTCCTTGACTGCTCAGATTAGTCAGCTTCAGCATACACTAATTAGTCAATATCAACATATATTGTCTACCTTTCATCCATCTCCGTCTGTCTCCAGTGTTTTCTCTCTTCATTCAGTTTTGCTTAGGTCTTCTTTCGGTATTTCTTTGTCTGTTTGGATTTTTGACTCTGGTGTCTCTCATCATATGACTATCCATCTCTTCTTACTTCAAGATTGTACTCCTCATCCCTTTCCTATTATTGTCAATGCTGCTAATGGGCTTGGTATGTTTGTTATATCTATCGAGTCTGTCCTACCATCTGCTATGTCTGCTGTCTCTATTCCATCTATCTTTTATGTTCCTTAGTTATCTGTCAATTTATTATCTATTAGTCAGCTTGATACCTCTGGTTACGATGTTATTTTTTCTGCTTCTATCTGTTCAGTGCAGGATCGGATATCTAAGCAGCAGGTTGGGACAACCATAGAGTTGGAGACCTCTATGTGGTCGAGAACTTGCATCTGCTTATAACAACCTCTCAGACTACCTTTTTCTCTTTTCAGTTAGATTCTTTGTCTAGTTCTTTCTACTTGTGGCATTCTAGATTAGGGCATTTGTCTGCTGATCGCTTACAGTCTTTAGCTCAGTTGGGTATACTGGATAAAGTTTCTCCTAGTGTACTTACTGAATATTAGGGGTGTAAACTTGCCAAAATGATAGCCTTACCTTTTCATAAAAGTATTTCTATATCTGATACACCATTTTCTTTAGCTCATACCGATGTTTGGGGCCCTTCTTCTGTTCTCACCAAAGGGGGTTCTGCATACTATGTGTCTTTTGTTGATGACTGCATCTGTTACACTTAGGTTTATCTTATGACTTATAAGTCTGACTTCTACCAGATACACCGTACTTTCCAGTCTATGGTCACTACATAGTTTGGGTCTACTATTAAATTGTCGTGGTCTGACTTGGGTGGGGAATACTTTAAAACTGAATTCTGTGAATACTTGGCCAAATTGGGTACCATTTATCAAACTTCTTGTACTGATACACCTGCCCAAAATGGTCAAGCTGAGTGTAAACATCGTCATCTTCGTGAGACAGCTAGGTCTCTCATTCTCTATGCCTCCATTTCGGCTCTATTTTGGGGTGAGGCAGTTCTTACTGCTGTTTTTCTTCTTAACCGTATGCCTACCCCATTTCTTTCTGGTCGATCTCCTTATAAGGCTCTATTTTCTCGACTTCCTAATTACTCTCGCTTTCGTGTGTTTGGGTCTGCTTGTTTTGTCCTTTTACCCCGTAAAGATAGGACCAAACTTAGTACCCGGTTTGTTCTGTGTGTCTTTTTGGGTTATAGTCTCACTCATAAAGGTTATTGCTGTTATGACCCTGTTTCCTGTCGCCTTTATGTCTCCCACCGTGTTGTCATTCTCGAATGTCTATCTTACTTTCAGCTTCCTCCTTTCACCGCCCCAGTTTCCAAAGAGGATTTGGTTCATCTTGATTCATTTCCCTCTGAGGTCCCATCTAATGAGTATATCTCCACTGTTCTGCCTGAGCTTGTTCCATCTTCTCCTCCTACTTCACCTCTAGTTGCTTCTCCTCCTTCAGCTTCTCCTCCTCCTCCGTTGTTAGTTTATTCTCGTCGCAAGGCTTCTCATCCACCAGTTATCTCTACCTCTGCTATTGATCCTCCTGCTTCTAATGACTTTAATCCTGATACACATCGATATCCTACTCGTGAGCGTCGTCCTCCAAATAGGTTAGGTTGGTCTAATACATGTTTTTTTGTTTCCTATCGTCCTTTTGTCTGTTATTCATTCTTTTTCAGAACCTTAGTCTTACATAGAGGCCTGTCAGGATCCTAATTGGGTTCAAGTAATGGAGGATGAGTTGTTTGCCTTGCAGAAGACTAACACTTGAGAGTTGGTTCCTTTGCCTCCTAGCAAGATTCTGGTTGGTTGCAAATGGGTCTATAAAGTCAAGACTCATTCTGATGGTTCTCTCGAGTGATATAAAGTTCACTTGGTTGCTAAGGGTTTCTCGTAGAAGTATGGTATTGATTATGTGTGAGGCCCCTGACTTTTTTGTAAACCTTATTAGGTCCCTAAATTTTGAATTATTATAATAAAGCCCTTAGTTCGTCGATTAATCGCAAATTAAGCCCTAGGACTGAAAATGCATCACGGGCGAATCCATACAAACCCTAATCGATCCTAGAAGCTTAGAAATCACTTCTAACACTCTAATATTAACTACTTAACTCTCAAATTTTAGATTAATAGCTCTAAACCTTAACTTTCAATTTTTACTGTCATCGTTCGGTTATTTACCTTTAAATTCAAAGCAAGATAATACAAACTGAATTATTTTGAAATAGATACTTTAATTGAACCCAAGCCCGCACATTTTATTAAATCACAAATTGACCCCAAACAAGTACTATTATATATTTATATATATACACTTTTACCCAAAAATCTTTTTTAATAATATATTTTACAATTTCCAAGATTTGTATATAACATGTCCATCAATTCACCATCACATGGCTAGCCGTCATACCCACCCTAGACTATAATCATTGTACTTTAAAATCTCTTGAAATCTTGGAGCAATAATGACTTTGGTACCTATAAAGATTTGCTATATATATGTGTACTTCAAACTAGAAGATATTTACATTAGTCCTAGACCTAACTAGATCATAATTAAATATATCATTAAGGTTCTAATCCTCCTCATCTTAGCAGTTCCCAATCAAGGTATGCGCTCCTCCTCTGAGTACCGTTTGGCCTCCCACTGATTCTATTGAATCTACTCTGGCTCCTAATCCTGACTTGGCTTCCTTGACTGCTTAGATTAGTCAGCTTCAACATACATTGATTAGTCAACATCAACATATATTGTCTACCTTTCAGCTATCTTCGTCTGTCTCCAGTGTTTTCTCTATTCATTCAGTTTTGCTTAGGTCTTCTTCTGGTATTTCTTTGTCTGTTTGGATTTTTGACTCTGGTGTCTCTCATTATATGACTATCCATCTCTTCTTACTTCAAGATTGTACTCCTCCTCCCTTTCCTATTATTGTCAATGCTGCTAATGGGTTTGGTATGTCTGTTATATCTATCGAGTCTGTCCTACCATCTGCTATGTCTGCTGTCTCTATTCCATCTGTCTTTTATGTTCCTTAGTTATCTGTCAATTTATTATCTATTAGTCAGCTTAATACCTCTGGTTTTGATGTTATTTTTTCTGCTTCTATCTATTCAGTGCAGGATCGGATGTCTAAGCAGCAGGTTGGGACAACCATAGAGTTGGAGACCTCTATGTGGTAGAGAGCTTGCATCTGCTTATAACAACCTCTCAGACTACCTTTTTCTCTTTTCAGTTAGATTCTTTGTCTAGTTCTTTCTACTTGTGGCATTCTAGATTAGGGCATTTGTCTGCTGATCGCTTACAGTCTTTAGCTCAGTTGGGTATACTGGATAAAGTTTCTCCTAGTGTACTTACTGAATATCAGGGGTGTAAACTTGCCAAAATGATAGCCTTACCTTTTCATAAAAGTATTTCTATATTTGATACACCATTTTCTTTAGTTCATACTGATGTTTAGGGCCCTTCTTCTGTTCTCACCAAAAAGGGTTCTGCATACTATGTGTCTTTTGTTGATGACTGCATCTGTTACACTTAGGTTTATCTTATGACTTATAAGTCTGACTTCTACCAGATACACCGTACTTTCCAGTCTATGGTCACTACATAGTTTGGGTCTACTATTAAATTGTCGTGGTCTGACTTGGGTGGGGAATACTTTAAAACTGAATTCTGTGAATACTTGGCCAAATTGGGTACCATTCATCAAACTTCTTGTACTGATACACCTGCCTAAAATGGTCAAGCTGAGTGTAAACATCGTCATCTTCTTGAGACAGCTAGGTCTCTCATTCTCTATGCCTCCATTTCGGCTCTATTTTGGGGTGAGGCAGTTCTTACTGCTGTTTTTCTTCTTAACCGTATGCCTACCCCCCTTCTTTCTGGTCGATCTCCTTATAAGGCTCTATTTTCTCGACTTCCTAATTACTCTCGCTTTCGTGTGTTTGGGTCTGCTTGTTTTGTCCTTTTACCCCGTAAAGATAGGACCAAACTTAGTACCCGGTTTGTTCTGTGTGTCTTTTTGGGTTATAGTCTCACTCATAAAGGTTATCGCTGTTATGACCCTATTTCCTGTCGCCTTTATGTCTCCCACCGTGTTGTCTTTCTTGAATGTCTATCTTACTTTCTGCTTCCTCCTTTCACCGCCCTAGTTTCCAAAGAGGATTTGGTTCATCTTGATTCATTTCCTTCTGAGGTCCCATCTAATGAGTATATCTCCACTGTTCCACCTGAGGTTGTTCCATCTTCTCCTCCTACTTCACCTCTGGTTGCTTCTCCTCCTTCAGCTTCTCCTCCTTCTCCGTTGTTAGTTTATTCTCGTCGCAAGGCTTCTCCTCCACCAGTTGTCTCTACCTCTGCTGTTGATCCTCCTGCTTCTAATGACTTTAATCCTGATACACATCGATATCCTACTCGTGAGCGTCGTCCTCCAAATAGGTTAGGTTGGTCTAATACATGTTTTTTTGTTTCCTATCGTCCTTTTGTCTGTTATTCATTCTTTTTCAGAACCTTAGTCTTACATAGAAGCCTGTCAGGATCCTAATTGGGTTCAAGTAATGGAGGATGAGTTGTTTGCCTTGCAGAAGACTAACACTTGAGAGTTGGTTCCTTTGCCTCCTAGCAAGATTCTGGTTGGTTGCAAATGGGTCTATAAAGTCAAGACTCATTCTGATGGTTCTCTTGAGTGATATAAAGCTCGCTTGGTTGCTAAGGGTTTCTCGTAGAAGTATGGTATTGATTATGTGGAGACATTTGCCCCTATTGCCAAGATGACTACTGTTCGTACCTTAATTTATGTTGCTGTTGTTCGACATTGGCCTCTCTATCAGATGGACGTTAAGAATGCTTTTCTTAATGGTCATCTCACTGAAGAGGTCTACATGCGTCCTCTCCTTGGACTTTTCTACTCTTCTGGGTAGGTTTGTCATCTTCAGCATGCTCTGTATGGTTTGAAGCAATCTCCTCATGCTTGGTATGATCGCTTTCAGGCTGCTGTTACTAAGCTTGGGTTTCATCCTTCTGCTTTTGACTCTGCTTTGTTTCTGAGACATACCTTGACTGGTTTTGTTGCTCTCTTACTCTATGTAGATGATATGATCACCACTGGCTTTGACTCTTCTGCTATTTCTGAGGTCAAGCAACATCTCTTCCACACCTTCAAAATAAAGGATGTGGGTCTATTGTGGTATTTTCTTAGTATTGAGGTTGTCTTTTCTCCAAAGGGTTTTCTGTCTCAGGCCAAGTATGCTAATGAGGTTATTCACTGTGCCGGTCTTGCTGATATTAAGGTTTCTAATGCCCTTATTAAGCTTAATGTGAAGCTCAACTCTACTGATGGTATCCCTCTGGATGATCCCACTTTCTATTGCGAGCTTGTGGGTTGTTTAGTGTATTTGACTGTCACTTGTCCTAATCTTGCTTATGCTGTTCATGTGGTTAGTAAGTTTATTTCTACTCATCGCTCTATCCATTGGGCTGCTTTGGTTTGCATTCTTCGCTATCTCCGGGGTACCATCTTTCTGGGCTTACTGTTGTCCTCTACTTTCTCTTTAGACTTGGTGGCCTATGTTGATTCCGATTGGGCTGGTGATGTTAATGATCGCAAGTCTACCTCTAGTTTCTATATGTTTCTTGGCGATTCTTTAATCTCTTGAAAAAGCAAGAAACAAACTATTGTTGCTCCCTCTACTGTTGAAGTTGAGTACCGTGCTATGGCTCATCCTACTGCTGAGCTTGTTTGGCTTCGTTGTCTTCTCATGGATTTGAGAGTACCTTAGTCTTCTCCGACCTCTGTCTATTGTGATAACCGTAGTGCTATTTAGATTGCCCACAATACTGTCTTTCATGAACAGACGAAACACATTGAGATTGATTGTCATTTTGTCCGACAGTATATGCAGTCTGGCTTTATCTCGCTTCCTTTTATCTCCTCGGCTTTGCAACTAGCGGACTTCTTCACCAAGACTCACACTACATCTCGGTTTTAGTTTCTTCTTAGCAAACTCTCAATGTTTTCTGCTAAAACACCTTGAGTTTGAGCGAGGGTGTGAGAATATATTATATATATGACATTATTGTGTAAATAGGAATTAGTTAGTATTTCCTTTTGCAGTCATAGATTTAGGGCTATATAAACTAATGAACTCTTTGTAAATTGACACAATTGAATATATAGTTAATTCATAAATCTTACATCACCTTCCTTAGGCTTACAAAATGATTATTCTCTTATAATAGTGAATGGTGATTCTATTTACAATACATTTTTCATTATTTTTTTAAATTAACCAAACATAGGAATGAAAATTTTGATGGAATGTTTCATTCCACTCAATTTCAGTAAACTAAATAGTACCTTAATATTTAGTCTGTATGCAGGGTGATTGATTAAATTCTCACCAGGGCAACACCCTATTTACAAAGAAACTAATATTGTTCAATATAGTTTTGTCCCTTGAAATTTAAAATTAAAATTAAGAGAATTTGAGTTGCTTACATAGGTTAATTACAGCAAGGAAGCACAATAAGCTATGTCCAATATTGATCATGTACTCCCAAGACCAACCACTAGCAATCACTTCCAACCACAAAGGCAAAAGAGATAGAAAACAAATTCTAGGGATTGCATCAAATGAAAAATATTTTTTTTTTTTTAAAAAAAAGACTCTAATTTAAGTTGTAAATAGAATTAAACTTTAATAAATAGTTTTGATGTGTGGCATGAGGACTTAATACAAGAGGGATAACTTTGATAAAACTTTAATTCCTCTGATTCACGGTTTAATTTTAATTGCACTGATCTTTAACAAATATTAAAAGCATTCCCAAGATCTCATTTTTTATATACAAATATCAAAACACAAGAGGAATGAGCAACAAAAGATGAAAAATGATATGATTATAATGAATTTATGCATACAGAAAGTTTAAAGAATAAGAAAATTAAAAAAAAAATCTCCTAAGTTATTGGAAACCAAGGAAATAGAAAATTGAAAATAACATTTAAAATTAAGAATTTTACTGTGTGCTTATAGCGTTCCCCCCTTTTTCACGGCAACTAGAGATCAGAGAGTGATTCCATCTATTTTCTTTTTTTTTTTTCTCTCTAAATTTGCAAAATACAAAGGGCTATAGTACTTAAAATTCAAGTTAGCCAGGAAAACTTCCTTCAAATTTCCAAATTCCATCTGTAAAGAGTCAAGTGTGTGTGTGTGTGTATGAAGCTATATAGCAGCAATGTAACAAGAAAAAAGAACTTGGTATTAGTCTGTTTAAATTTGAACCTAGGTAAACACCTAATTTACCAAAAAACTATTAAAATTCAACATAGTTTTGTCCATTGAAAATGAACATAAAAAGATTTTGAGTTCCTTTAGCTGTGTTTGGACCAAGAATTTAAGTGGAGATTTGTAGACAAAGAAGGAAAAAGTGAAGAAAAAAAAAACTTACATTTATTCACTTAATTTATTATTCCCCCCCGCCCCCCTTTTTCATCCATAAATCCTTCCATAAAACACAACTTCAATGATTACATAGGTTAATTACAGGAAAGCACACAAGCTAACTCCAAAGTTGATCATCATTTACTCTCAAGACCAGTCACTAGTAATCACTTTCAACCACAAAGGCAAAAGAGATAGAAAACAAATTATGGGGATAGCATCAAATGAAATACATAAAAAAAAATTAAATTTAATAAATAAATAAATAAATTTACTATGGTTGCTCTTGTCTTGTTCATAAGTTGTAAATTGGATTTAACTTTAATAAATAGTTTTGATGTGTGACACGAGGACTTAATACAAGAGGGCTAACTTTGATAAACAAGTATTGACTTTCATTCAACTCTGATTCATGGTTTAATTTAGCAAATGTCATGTTGAATATAGAAATTAGAGTATATAATTTTTTATTTTATTTTTAGTATTATGTATATAATTTATGATTATGTCAATCACTGATTGTTTTTGTTTCCTTATTTATAGCGTTTCCTAAATTACATTATGAATCTATTATATATATATGGTCTCTACCTCATTCATGGGCAATGTTATTAAAGACGATAAGCGCACCAAGGCTCCATGGTCTCCTAGGGCCTAGGCTCAAGGCGCAAGGCAAGGCACAAGCTTCACCGAAGTGAGGCGCACCTTGTACATAAAAAAATATATAATTTAATATAACTAAATAATTTAGGGTTCAACATAAGTAAAATGAAATCTTAAACATTTAAAAATATATATACCAACAAATACTACTATTTTAGCATAGACAAATGAACAATATTTCAAATTTTAACATAAAACATGAATAAAATGAGAGGGGAGAAGAAGAATAAGAAGGGGCGGGGGGAAATAGATCAGTCTAAAGAATGATGAGAAAGAAAAGAAGACTAGAGAATAAGCATAAGAAGATGGAAGAAGAAGAAGGCAACATCATCACAACCATGTGAAGAAGAAGATAGCAATGTAGAGAAGAAAAGTAGAGAAGACAATAACGTAGACAAGAAGAAGAGAAAAGAACATAATGAGAGAGAAACGTAAGAAGAGAAGAAAAAAAATGACAACAACGTGAAGAAGAATTTTTGGATTTGCTGGATTAGATAATGAAGGCATGCAGTATAGTAAAGTGTTCTTCGAAGATTAGGAATTAGGGCTAATTTTTCTTTTATCATTGATTTATGATTGAATGTCCAATGTATTGGCATGTGTAATAAGAGTAGGGATCTTTTGTAGTTGCATCATCTTAAATCAATGGTCAAAATTTAAACAAAACCAATTGAAGCAACAATAAAAAAAGCCCTCAAGACTTGGGCCTTACTGTTCCTTGGACTAGTCGTGTGGCTTATCGAAGTTGCCTAGCCTAGAACACTACAAGGCGCAAACCTTGGGCCTTGTAGGGACTTGGGCCTAGGATTGCCTTATTGAAGCCACCTGGCCTGAAGCACTACAAGGTACAAACCTTGGGCCTGGATGGGACTTGGGCCTAGGCGCACGCCTAGGCATGTCTTTAATAACACTGTTCATGGGTAAGCCAAATAATTCTTTTCATTCTGTTTAGTATTAGAGCTAGGTTAAGTACCTAGTAATTTTGCTTCACCGGTAAGCGACAACCTTACCTTGGCCACCCGTCGGACCTCAACCTATTCCACTGCCATATTTTCTTTCAGTATCACTTCGTGGTGATCTCTTCCTCTATCCACTAATTTATTCCTATCTCAAATATCTCTATCATATATTTTTTTACTCACAATCCATTTTGTGTGTGTGTGTGTGTTTCTGTTCCACTTTGTCTTTGTCTTTCTCTTTATTTCAACCTCAAATAAGTTTCTATCTTGCAACCTATTTGAGTTTGAGGGGGGGTATTATACCTATATCATGGTGAGTATGGTGATATACCATGTGAACCACCTAAGCTACCCCCTCTGGCGCACAACCCAAGTCGCCTCCTCTATCGCACAACCCAAGTCCCCCCCTTGACGCACCACCAAAGCGGTCCCTTGGTGCACTTTCTAATAAGCCGCCCCTTGGCGCACTTAGTCATCTATTGCCATCATTGTTCAGCACCACGTCATAAGTTATGTGTGTGTCACGCTTGCTGGTTCAGCATCCAGTTCTCTACATATGTCCGACATGACCCCTTTAAACTTTCTCGATATTGATTCTGGTTAGTCTCTACAACGGTCCAGCATGACCCCCCGTAAATTGTCCCGACATTGATTCCGGTCAATTCCTACAACGGTCTAGCATGACTTTAAACTATCCCGACATTAGTTCCGAACAGTTTTTACAACGGTCTAGCATGACCATAAACTGTCTCCCGACATTAGCTCCACCAGGGTCTGGTTAGCTGCCGACCAGGGTGTTTTCTGGTCAGCAGCTCTCAAGGTTTTAAAAAGCAGCCGCAACCGTTACGTAACACCATTATGTAACAGTTGTGGTGGTTACCACCACCTGTTACGGCCATTTTTGCAGTGTGATTGAGATTTATAGGTGTGTCGACCGTAGTGGCTACCATAGCGGTCGTAATGGTGCCGTAACAACTGTAACGGCCTGTTACGCACCGTTATGTAACTGTTCCAAACTGCTTCTTTCGAAAAAACACACAAAAAAAAGCTGAAAATAGGGGAAGAGGGATAGAAAGAAGAGGGAAGATAAAGAGAGAAGATGGAGGAGCAAGAGATAGAGAGAGAGAAGAGGGAAGATGAAGAACACGTTATTGATTTGTTGAAACTGTAAGACCTATGTTATTTTATTAAGCTGCTATCGCTCAACCATTTTGTTTGTGTGTATTTATCTATATATTGTTTGAAAACAATAAACATGTATATATTGTATTCAGCTGTTATCACTCCATTTTGTTTGTGTGTCCATCTATATATTGTTTGAAAATAATAATAATAATAAGTTTGGTCATTATCTATTTGGCTTGGTTAATATATATATATATATATATTTAGGCTCTTATTTATTCTCTTACTTTTGTCTTTGTTTATCTTATATATAATAGTTAGTGATTGATTTTTTGTATAATATAAAGTCATTAATTATTAAAATAAAATGTAAAAAACTCAGTTTATAGTGATTTAAAAATATGAAATATATTGGATCATACTTAAAAATTTACAAAAATTGATCAATATTTATTTTAAACCCAATAAATATGATCATAGAAAAAAATATGCGTATCAGTAAGTTTTTTTCAAATTGTGCGAAAAATAAAAAAATTCACTGTTCTGATTACCGCAACCGTTACGCTATGGCCTTTACACCCCGCAACCGCAACCGCAACCGCAACCGCAACCACTTTTCAGAACTTTGGCAACTCTTCTAGGATAGTTTAGTCCCTGTTTGTTCCTTTCTAGGGTACAGTGCTGATGTATTAAGCACTTTCTTGGTCTTTTTTATTTAGTGGACTACCAGATTTGTTCGATAGCATTTATTTGGACTAGCCGTTGAGTTTTTTCCGGCTTCTTCTAGTCATCCATTGGCAAACTGCGATTCTTGAATATCTTCATACCAACTTGAGGGGGAGTGTTGAATATAGAAAGTATAGTACATAGAATCTTTTTATTTTTAGTATTATGTCTATAATCTGTGATTGTGTCAATCACTAATTAGTATTGTTTCCTTATTTATATCGTTTCCTAAATTGTAGCATGAATCTATTATATATACATGACCTCTACCTCATTCACAGGTAAGCCAAATAATTCTTTTCATTCTTTTTGGTATTCACATGTAGAATTAATTTGGCCTAATAGCAGTTAAAGATGGTAATGGCTTAATTGCTGATACCAAATATTAAAACCATTACCAAGTTCTTGTTCTTTGTATCCATTACCAAAGAGGAATGAGAAACAAAATAGAGCATTAGTGTTAGGTAATGTTTACAGTTTTTTGTTTCTTGTTTACAAAAAATAAGGAATCACCTTTATGTTTACATATTTGACACACAAGCTTTCAAGATATAAAAAAACGAAAACAAGAAAACGTGTTTGATGAGTTACCAGGTGGTGGCCAACGGGGGATGGTGGCAAGAGGTGGCAGAAGTGAGAAGGGAATAAAAACTTGTTTTCATAACTAGTAAAAATATATATATACTTTTAAAATTTTGTAAATTTTGAAAGTTTAAACAACTGTCAAACGAGTATTTGTTGGTTTTCAAATTTTGGAAAAACAACAAAATCAGTGAAACATAAACATTACAGAACCCTCATTTTTTGGATTTTTGATTTTTAATGTGTAGAGAGAGGTTATTATGATAATATACTTTGTAAATCATAATTTGCAGAAACACCAATCACCCGAAAATTGAAATAACAACATATCTTAAACACTTCATTTCTTCCTCTAAGAAGTGCTCCTCAGGTTTTAGCTACAAATGAGAAAGCTCAATAGTTGAGAACTCATCCCAAAAAATAAAAATAATAATAATAAAAAAGGAAGAGAAGATTATATGAAATTTTTGGCATAATTACTTATGAAAGAGAACTGGAAGAGAAGTAGAGAACTACAAACCTGGGTAGGCAGAAGTTAGTTGGGACTCTACCACTCCCTATTTTTATGGTTTCATTTTCATCCTTTAGCAAATTACGCAAATCATTGGGATGTAAGCTATCTTAAGCCATTCTGTGCCACCTTCCCTTTGGCATCTTTGTGATAAGAGTTCACAATGAATAATGTCCCCTTGTTTTAACATTGAGAGACAATGCAGAGAGTCAGGAAGAGACTCCAATTTATGGCAATGGCGGATATAGTGCTTTGCAAGTGATACGAGGTTCCCTATCCACTCTGGTAAAGTCACCAAACCATCACAGAATGAAATAGAGAGAACTTGTAATGTAGTCAGGTGTTGAAGCCCATGAGGAAGACAAGTCAACTTTGGAAGCATTGAAATATACAAAAGACTAAAGATTCACAAGACCTAGCAAGCCATCATCCTCGTTTGACCAATCAAATGCTCCACATTGCAATACTTCTAGCTTCTGGAGGGTAGAAAGGTGTTGGATTCCTTGAGACAAAGAAGTTAGGCAACTACAAGAATTGATCTGAAGAGACTGAAGAGAAACTAAGCACCTTAATCCTTCTTCTGGTAATTGTACCAGCTTATGACAGTCAATAATCTGCAAATCCCTTAGTAAAGTGAGGTTTCTCAAGCCTAGTTCTAATGAAGATACTAGATCTTCACAGAACCAGATATGCAGGGTCTGAAGTGTGCAGAGGGGATAGGATGGACCTGGAGTGGCTGTTTCTGTTATTTGTCTGTCAAGTTCTGTTTGCACTGTCATAGACTGTAAGAGCTTCTCACTTACATGTCTCATGGTTAATTCTTCCAGAGATGAAAGTAATGGCATTGATACCAGGCTAGAGCAATGGTCGATTTCCAAACTAGTTAGGCAAGGAAAAGACAATGAAGATGATTGTTATCGAGCTGGTGCTATTTCCCCATGATCATTAGCCATAACTACTTCCCTCAGCCATTCCTTCAGAAGAGGCAAACCATCAAGTAAAAGTTTTTCGAGAGCTGGAAAGAAAGACCCTCTTGTTGCAGCATTCATAAGTTTACTCCTTGACGAAGATGGAGTATCAACAGTAGCGTCACTAGTAGTGTTAGCAACAGAAGAAGACCCAATGTAGTTGTTGTCGATGTACTCAAGTGCACTTAGAGATTGGAGTTTGAAAAACTTCAGAAAAGGGAGATCACCAAACCATGGAAGATGTTGGCATCTTCTACAATTTTGTATGGTGATGCAAACTAAGTTTGGCAGCCATGAAACCATTTTAATCATCATCCAACTTGGAAACGTGATGCCTCCATATCCTTCTACATTCAACTCTTTCAGATTTGGGTGTGGCTGGAGGTCTTCCAACACTCTACCATCCACATCAACATAATCAACACCATCTTTATCTCCTGTCCATTCTAGTGTCAGTTTTTGAATAAACTTTTTTTCCTTTAAGTTTGCTCCCTTCAGTTCCTTCAATCTAGATGTTCTATTTCTCGCATTTTCAAGATGTTTAATTTGGAGACCCCCTCTAAGGTGGTTTAAGTTATTCAACTCACCAATTCCCCCAATAGCTTTAGAGATGGAGCTATCCTTTCCCACAATGAAAATTGGTAAGGTCTGAAGACATGTCAATTCTCCTAGTCCAAATGGCATGTAACTTAGGTCGTTACATCCCTCAATTTCAAGATGTCTAAGGCTCACCAACTTTCTTATATCAACTGGCAATCTTCTAAAATCAAGACAGTATGAGAGTTTAAGTGTCTGCAAGTTCTGTAGCTTGCAGATAGATTTGGGAAGTGTAGCCATATTGATATTCCGTGACAGATCTAGATATCTTAGATGCTTAAGTTTGCCAATAGATTTGGGAAGATTCTCAATTCTTGAACCTTGCAAATCCAATGTACGCAGGCATATAAAACTTGAAATTAGTGTATCATGAGCTTCTCTTTGTTTTGGACCACACAAAATTAATGTGCGAATCTTCCTTGCATTGATCATGAATGTTGAAACTTCCCGTGACAAACATGAAATGGAATCAAACGCCATGCGATATGTTCTTTCAGACATATTTTCTACATTAGTATTCACAATAAAACAGTCTGTTCCTGCCACTAATCGTGCAAGATCATGGATGAGATCATGCATTTTGAAACTTTTATACCCATTTTCATCTTCATCTACATCTTGAAAGAAGGACCCAAACACAATTCCTTGAAATATTCATCAGCAATATCCTCTACATCATGGTCTTTGCCTGATGAGTGAATGAACCCTTGAGCCATCCACAATTTAACGAATGTCTCCTTCTCTATGTGGCAGCTTTTGGGCAAAAGGGAGCAATAGGCCAAACATGGCTTTAAATGGGAAGGCAGGTAGTCATAACTAACCTTCAACATTGGTAAAATGTGGTTTTCATCTTGAGCTATTTCCCAAAGCTTTTCTTTCACAATCAACCACTCAATTTCTGTGTCTTTTAGGTACTAGAGGCTTTCGATTGTCCTTATGGCTAGAGGCACTCCTCCATAGTTTTTCAAGATTTCCTTCCCAATTGTTACTAGGCTTGGTTTTTCCTCCAATTGTCTTCTTTCAAAGGCCAACTGCTTAAACAATGACCAAGAATTATCTTCTGGCAAACCTTTCAAGTGGTATGAAAAAGTGGCTCCCATAATCAATGCAACCTTTTCACTTCGCGTAGTCACTATAATTTTGCTTCTCTTTTCACCACCCATTAACAAGTCTTCCAACTCATTCCACACCTCACGATTTTCACTCCACACATCGTCTAAGACAAGTATGAATCTCTTCCCATCCAAACAGCTTCGAAGATTCTGTTGCAATTAATCCATCTCTAAGTTTGCATATTCACCGTTGGCGGATTTTATTATTTGCTTTATGATGAGTTTCAAATTGAAGACATTGGAAACACATATCCACACTCTTAACTCAAAACTTGTTAAAACCTTCTCATCATGTAACACCAATTGAGCAAGTGTGGTCTTACCTAGTCCCCTCATCCCAACAATGGAGACAATGGATATATCCTCCTGAGCTCCTCCATCCATCACCATTTCTAAGATCGCTTTCTTGTCATCATCTCTGCCGATAAGCCTAGATATTCAAACAAATGAGTGAGTCTGCTCTCTCCTTCTATACTCTGATGGCCTTCTGTCAACACACTCTTTGAAATGGAACTTGTTCTTATCAGATGCAATCTCATCTAATTCATGTCTAAGTGCTTTGATTTTGTGACTCATCTTAAAACTAGAGGTTGGAAGTTTTCTATATCTCTGTATATTCAATTGTATATTTGATTACAACCGGACCTTAGATTATATAGCCCTAACTCCTAAACCAAAAAGGACTCTAATATAATCACTTATCTAATAGGACTAGGACTCTAACATGTACAACCACAATCATGCCTAATTTGTAAGATTCACAATGTATTCTCACACCCTCACTCAAACTCAAGGTGTTTTAGCAGAAAACACTGAAAGTTTTCTAAGAAGAAACTGAAACCGAACAGTAGTGTGAGACTTGGTGAATAAGTCCGCAAGTTGAAAAGCCGAAGAGATGAAAGGAAGCGAGATAGAGGCCGACTGCAGATGCTGGCGAACGAAGTGACAATCAATCTCAATGTGTTTCGTCTGCTCATGGAAGACAGTATTGTGGGCAATCTGAACAGTACTGCGGTTGTCACAATAGAGAGAGGTCGGAGAAGACTGAGAGACACCCAAATCAGACAAAAGACAACGAAGCCAAACAACTTCAGCAGTGGCATAAGCCATAGCATGATACTCAGCTTCAGCAGTAGAACGAGCAACGACTGATTGTTTCTTGCTTTTCCAAGAGATCAAGGAATCACCAAGAAACATATAGAAACTAGATGTAGACTTGCGATCAGTAACATCACCAGCCCAATCAGAGTCAGCATAGGCCACCAAGTCCAAAGAGAAAGTAGAGGACAACAGTAAGCCCTGAAAGATGGTACCCCTGAGATAGCGAAGAATGCGAACCAAAGCAGCCCAATGGGTAAAGCGAGGAGCAGAAACGAACTGACTAACCACATGAATAGCATAAGCAAGATCAAGGTGAGTGACAGTCATATAAACTAAACAACCCACAAGCTCGCGATATAAAATGGAACCATCTAGAGGGACACAATCAATAGAGTTAAGCTTCACATTAAGCTCAATAGGTGTATCAGAAACCTTAGTATCAGTAAGGCCAGCACGATGAATGACTTTATTAGCATACTTAGTCTGAGACAGAAAATAGCCCTTTGGAGAAGAAGCAACCTCAATACCAAGAAAATATCGTTATGGACCCAGATCTTTCATTTCGAATGTGATATCCCTGTTCCGTAATATGTTAATTGGTCCTTAACATGAATGTGATTATGTGTTTCATATGATTTTGTGTGCCGTTATGTGAAGATATGTGGTTTTGAATTTCTATCTGTTCACCGTAGGAATATCTGTTTGATTATCTGCTTTGGAAATTAAATTGAAGGCGCTATCGGCCACCGAAATCGAAATTCGCCGCGCCATTGTGATTGGTATAATTTTTAGAGCTTACGGTGAAGTCTAATTGGAAATTGATTTGGATCAAATTAAATTGATTTAATTAATGGCATAGTGCTTAAATTATTTAATATTAAATAATTATGGTTAGTGGGACTTGTAAAGAGAGGCACTATACACTCAATTCATACACTTGAGCTCAAAATCAAATTTTGTGCCTTAGAAAGAGAGGGCCGGCTATAGAGAGAGAAATGGAGAGAAATTGTGCAAGTTTGGCTCAAAGCTTGGAAACCTTGAAGATTTCTCAAGAATTTGCTATAGATTGTAAGAATTAAAGCTCCTAGGTGAGTATTTCATGGATTCTAGTTTGTAATTTTGTGTATTCAAGGTAGTTGGGTAATCAAGAGTAAGTTTGACATGAAATTGAGTTGATTTTGGTTGTATTTGAAGTCATGGAATGCATGCATGTGCATAATAGCTATGAATTTCCATATTTGAGCACAATGTGTATGATCCATGTTGAATTTTTGGTTTAAGTCCATATATTTGATCACCTCTTCACTAATTAAGTTGAGGATATTGTGTATATTCCACATACAAGTGCAAATCATGGAAGTATGAACCTTGAATGTTTGAATTTAGTGTGTTGGTGATGAGTTTGAGTCAATTTGGGACATGCATGTGTTTGATTCATAAAATTGAGCTTCATTGGGTTGCAATTTGGGGTTTATACCATGTTAGTACAAGCGTATTTGAAGTTTGAGCTATTGCATGCAAGAAATGTTGGATGAAATGTCAAGTTGAAGCTCAAGAACATAGCTGGAAAACCCAGAAATTTTGGTGTCCACTCGAGCGGGGAAACCGTCGCTCGAGCATGGAATACGGGCTCCCAGCATTTTTTTGCAGACATGTCTCCCGCTCGAGCGGGGAAGTTCACGCTCGAGCAGGGAGCCATGTAGAGAGGCCTTCCGCTCGGGCGCCAGAATGCGCGCTCGAGCGTAAATTTGACATAGCCAGTACTTTTGCAGGCCTCTTGGGTCCGCTCGAGTGGGGACCCAATTTTCTGAAATTTTGATTATGCGTTCTGTGTTTCGTTTTCTGTCCTCTTTCACTTGTAAGCACTCTTAGGCATGCATTGAGGATTGTAAATGAGTTAAAGAGATAAGAATGAAACCTAAAGAGAAAAATGTGAATTTAGAACGGATTGAATTGTTTGTGACCTTTTTGTATTCATGGAATGTGTAGGGTCAAGCTCTAGGGCAAACCAACCAACCGATCATTGTGAGTAAATATCTTAACAAAGATATCTGAAATATGTTGTTGTCCAAATTACTTACTCCTATGTAAGTTTTATAAGTTCGTTCATTCGATTAGTGGACAATGTTGCTATGCCAAATGAATGGGCCAGAGGCCAGTTTGATCTGAATGATAGAGTGAATGGGCCAGAGGCCGTTTTGATACGAATGAATGGGCCAGAGGCCGTTTTGACATGAATGAATGGGCCAAAGGCTGTTTTGACACGAATGAATGAATGGGCCAAAGGCCGTTTCGATACGAATAAATGAATGGGCCAAAGGCCAGTTGACATAAATGAAAATATGAATTGGGCCCAAGGCCGTTTGAAGTATGTTGTTCTACATATCATTTGTATAACTTCTTTATTTGATATTATTCACTGGGCTATCGCTCACGTTCATTCATGTGTCTGTAGGTGAGCCAAGAGAAGTCCAGACCCAGCCCCAGCGATGTCTGTGTGGAACAACAAAGGTTTTGAAGAGTCAGCCCTTGCGTCTCACGAACGAAACCCGTCTTCGCCTTTTGTCATTCTGTTTTATTTTGTCATGTGGGCGAAGTCTTTGAATATGTTGTATATAGTTTTCTTGGGTTGACTTAGACTTATATGATCTTGTATGTACAGAACTTTGTGTAGTACATATTTTGTTGTGAGTTATTAATATGCATATGTATGGTTTGTTATGATGTGTCATGTAAGCACAGCTCTATGGAGAAAGTTTTAAACTGCTTCCATTTGGCTCCCATTAACTTTGTTAACATACATTTGGTTTGGTTTGAGGCTGTAGGTAATCTCATGATTACTGGCCGGTTATGTCCTCAACCCACGGGGGCGGGTTCGGGTCATGACATCGAAGGTGCGGAAGAGATGCTGCTTGACCTCAGAGATAGCAGAAGAGTCAGAGCCAGTGATGATCATATCATCTACATAGAGTAAGAGAGCAACAAAACCAGCCGATGTATGTCTCAGAAATAAAGCAGAGTCAGAAGCAGAAGAATGAAACCCAAGCTCGGTAACAGCAGTCTGAAAGCGATCATACCAAGCACGAAGAGACTGCTTCAGACCATACAGAGCACACTGAAGACAACAAACCTGGCTAGAGGAATGGTGAAGGATAGGGGGAGGGCGCATGTAAACCTCTTCAGTGAGATGACCCTTAAGAAAATCATTCTTAACATCCATCTGATAAAGAGGTCAATACCGAATAGCAGCAACAGAGATCAAAGTACGGACAATAGTTATCTTGGCAACAGGAGCAAATGTCTCCTCATAATCAATACCATACTCTTGAGAGAAACCTTTGGCAACCAGACAAGCTTTGTAGCGCT